GGAATCTTCATAGGCTCTTAGTGTTCAGCACACAGCAGCTCCTTGACACTGCAGACATTAAACTCTTCCCAGTCTGTTCCTTTAGAGCAACTCCACCTGTGTAAATTAAAAATGACCATTACTGTCACAGAGTGAAAAGACTTTGGATTTTGTGTTTGAGAAGGAAGAGCAAATTCTAAGATACGTGTACTGTCAGTTTAGTCATGATAGAGAAATTTGTGTCACTATGGGCAGCTAAATGTAATTTCACATGCATGTTGCTGTGAATTAGAAAGCTTCAGTGAAGCTAACCAAACATTAATAAAATAATCACTTGGAGAAACTATCAGTTACTTTGAGCACTTGTGAATGTAAAGAACAATAACTTGCAGCCCATCCATACTCATCCATGCTCAAACTGGTCCTGTTTCTTGGGCATAGTATATCTGACTGACTTTGTATGGAGAGGAATGCAGATGAGTGCCATGGGCAGTACCTCTTGGCAGCATCAGTACCTTTTTTACCTCAAGTTGCTCTTGCACATTTAACCAGTCTTTGTGCCAGTGTATCATTTTTCTTTTGCACCAAAATACACGTATATGTTACAGACTTTTAAGTGATTTAAAAAAAAAAGAAATTTAAATAGGAATCATAAAGTATGCAGTCTTTTCCAACCTGTTAAAATATGGAAACATTAATTCATTCATTCAGATGTATTTTTTTTCAGTGCTGTTTAGGCACACAAATTTAACAACAGTTTGTCGAGGAAAATATCATGCTGTTGATCTGAATAGTGATTTTTAACTCTGATATGCTTACAGTCCTTCTTAAATTAACAGATAATCTGAAGAGTGTAGTCTCCATGCATACTCAAGGAAGAGATCATCATGACCTGAAGATGAATCTGACTACTGAAACTGATTTAGCCTCTGGTAGTGCCCATTTGTAGTCTAGCTGCCACAAAGCAGATTTTTTCAAAGGGTCATAACTTGGCCAGAGTTGAGCTGATTTTCACAGATGGGGACTTGCTAAATTTCAAGTCTTAACTTCAAAGCAAGATGGTGCTAGAGCTCTTTGACAAGAAGGTCACTGTTTTTCATATTATGGATAAAGCAGTGTGTTGTCTTCCCTGGCCTGAGTTTTTTGGTTGAAATTGTTAAAGCAGAAACTTGGAGTATAAAACTTCAGTCTGTCTTGCAAAAGTCCACACTTAAATAAACAACTGAAAGCATCCTGTAATAAGAATTGTTGGGCAACTTGAATATCGAGGATGTTCCTACTCCATCTCTACTGATACAGAAGTTTGTACTAAAAATGCTTGTCCTTTTCAGAGTGGAAAAAAGTTAAAGGCAACTTCAAGCATTAATGAATAAAAACATTTTTGAATGAATAGCTTGATGTCTAACAGTGACAGGTTTATTTTACAAAGCTGTATTTATATAACACCACTGAGGGGGAAAAAAAAAAAATCAGCTACCACTTTTTTTTTAGTTAAAATGTAGCTTCTTGTTCACCCAGGCATAGTCATTCATAACTACTGATTTTTCTGAAGAAGCTTTTAAAATACAAAAAATCATCTTTGTGAAGAGAAAGGGCACAAGTGACACAGCTGTTGTATTTATACTCCTGGTCAGTTGGGAATCTTCCAACTGAATTAACTAGCTCTCAAAAGGGGAGTCAGCATCTTTGCCTTGGTTTTACAAGTTTTGGGGGACAAATATATTGCATTTAGTTGAGCATTGGCTTGTTTGGTCAGGACTTCCAGTGTATTTTATATTGAAAACAGGCCTCTAGAGTCTGTAGAGTCTTCTGTAGTGAGAGTCCTCTGCTGCTAAAATACTGACTTATTGGTTACGTGAGGTTTAATCATCATGAAGAGCATCTCTAGCGTTGGTGCACTCAGAAAATAGCTGTGGTGTATAATTACTACCATTGGAGAAAGCTGGAATGTTCTTATTAAATGGAGTTTATATGTACCCTTTTTAAAAACAATCTCTAAGGCTATAATTTTTTTTAAAAAACGTGCCTTCATATTTAAGGGTGGGAAGCATTATGTCACACCATGTGAAGGCCAATTATTCTTTAAAAACAAAACAGGAACGACAAAACAAATCAAGAACCCTTTACTTTGATTTTTAGTGATTTTTTTTCTTTTAAACCAAATTTCAGTTGCCGTACTGGGAAGGATCTGAGTTACTATTCTGCATTTATATTAATTTCTCTGCATATGAAAATTAGTGCAGTGGTTGTTATACCTGTGCATTCCACAGATGTCTTGGGTACAGGATGAATAAGGAATTTAGGAAAAGAGTGTACTTTGTGCTAACTCTTGTCACTGATTCCCACATGTACAGGGGGTTGTATCAAGTGTCTTCAAAACTGTGCACACAAGGAATGAATTCCAAATACCACCTGCATTTTCAGAATCTACTCAGTCTTACCATTTTTGTCACTTCAGATATTGTAGATATATAAAGTATGATTGATTAGATATTCATAATAACTGACTGCTCTGCTTGCGAGGTTGTCTTTAATGAATTTTGTTGAATTTGGAATAAAAATAAGTAGAATGACCTTGCATGGAATGTGTTATCATTACTGTTTTTTCATTGTCTCTTCATTTTGCATACTGAGAAAGTACTAATATCAACAACTTCTTATTAGGACATCTGTGAATGACCTATCAGACATTCTTACCTTGGCTCTTTGCTATTAGTAAAGCAGCTGTTCTTTGGTGTTTCACCTCTTCACCTTCTTTCTATACCTTGCAAAACAGCATTACATACATACATTAACAAAACCATTAAAATGTATTTCAGGAAGAAGACTGAAGTTTAAAAATTTTAAGTAGGGAAATGAACAATTTTTTAAGTACTCGATTGCAAGCAGATAATGGAAGCAATGTATTGTGAAGGAAAAAATGCTAAGATATACAAAACCAGGTTACACCTTCATTAGCTTAAATTATTATTTCATGTCTTTCTTAAACTGAAAAATAGCTAAATATCAGTCCTTAAAAAAAAAAAAAAATTTGCCTCCATAAATGAGTTAATAATAGAGGTGTCTTGTCACAGGAAAAAGTTTCAGCATCGTTCTGCTCTCTCACACACTCCTTTTTGCAGAAATCAAAATTAAATCATTACCTTTACACAGGTTTTTCAAACAATTGCCTGTCATGAGATATATTATAAAAATGATGTTGATCTTCTCTTAGCCTAAAGAGGAAAACAAAGTTGTTCTTCATATTAGACTGATTTTTGTACTGATTAAATAAAAATAATTGCAAAAACTATGTGGTTATAATACAAAGGAAAATAGAAATTAAGAATGTTCTTCATGACAAGTTCAATAAGCAGTCTCTTGTTCTTTTAGGAAATGAAAGAATACAAATCTGTGAATTTATTTGAAATATTGTGATTGTATTGTTAAAACCCAAAGTATTTGCTTTTGTAGAGAGCACTCTTGCCATTTGTACTCACAGTCAAACATGGAGCAGATTTACAAAACACACTCAGTGGGAGGACCCTTCCAGTCTGGAATGTGGTCCATCATCTATGCTCCAGTTTAAACTGGAGCCTCTGGTGGGCATGCTATCAGGTTTTCTTCTCTTCCTTTCTGGTAGTCTGGATCAACTCCTGAAAGGATCTTGTGAGACACCAGATTGCACAGGTGACAGATTGAGTGTTCTCTCATCACTTCCCTATCAGCAGTAGAAAACTTTTTATCCTGTTGCTAAATGTGGGCAGATTTTCATTAATCACACTGCTGTAATTTACCTGTAAGCACTGGCTAGTGTGTTTTTAATTATTCCTTTTTAAAAAATTGTTTTTTGGAAGAAAAAAATGCCTAATTTTCATTAATGACTTGGTTCAGTAAGACCTAATGGCTATATCTGAGGGGCATTGCAAAGGAGATGGTGACATGTATTTTTCCTGACACACTGAATAGCAGTCACCTAAAAACCCTAATGTAATGAGTCATTTACCAAACTAACTGTGTGTTCTTTAGCTGAAGGTCTCATTTAATTAGAGAACCAATTTTTGCTAGAGTACATCCCCGATCAATTTAAGGTTTTTGGATGTTTTTAGCAAAGAGTCATTCAGGTATCCTTAAACCTTAGGTGCATACTAAATATGCACAGTTATCAGTATGTTGCATCATGTCTGTGGTTGCCCCTAGGGACAGAGAGCCCTCCAGTGGGTCTCCATCTTTGTCCTTGTTTGGCATTTATTCAGGTAAGAAGGCAAATTGTGCCTCATCTTTCCAGATACATCCCTCTTCTTCCTCTTAACCAGCTCTGCAGGCCCCTGCATTGAGGTAAAGCCCCTCTTCACCTACACTCCCCCCACTGGCCTTAACAAATAAACAGGTGGAAAATGAGGTGAGGAGTCTCCTTTCTCTTGAGACTTAGCTGCTATGGTGAGGTGAAGAGATGAGTCCTTCCCCTTTACCTCCCTAATGGAAGTCAGATGTTTAGTCATGACTATTCCCTAGGTCTGAAAATACTGGAGGCTCAAATTTGGATATGCCTTGATGTAAGCAACTGGCCAATAGTTGAGAAAAAGAGCTAATGTGAGTGAAATAATATCATACTTAAAAGTATAGCCACACATCTTTCTTTATCTATATATTTCTGTACAGGAATTCATGGCACCAAAGAACAGATTTCCTTGCAAATGTTTCCTAAGCCAGTCTGTCATTCCAGTTTCTGCTTCATGGAGTGAGCCATGTTTTCAGCTGCTATTTTTATAACGAAATAATACCTCTGTTTAGCCTCAGTATTAAAAACTGAAGGGAATGCTGGTTACCCTTCAGAGACCTGGACTGCCATGGGTGACTGGTGGCCATTACATTTCTCTCGTCTTGGTAAGACTCAAAGCCCTATATTTGCTCAGTCTTTCACTGATTTTAAGATGAAAAAGATGCAGTTAATTTGTTTTGGTTTTAATCACATTACTTGCTATAAAGTTAAAATACAGTGTGTGTTTTTCAGTTAATTTTATTTTTGTTTTCTGTCCAAGTTGGATAATGGAGATGAGCAAGCAGCCCAGATCAGACGTGAACTAGATGGACGACTGCAATTGGCAGAACAAATGGCAAGGGTAAGTGGTTGCTTTCGTGTACCAAAACCATATCTTATTACAGGTTTAGTGGGGCAATACATAGTGAATGTTTCCAGTTTCTGATTCTAAAATTAAGCAGAAGATTATTTGAAAACAGTCTCACAGATGGATTTCTTTCTGCTCTAGAGTTTCTGTGTTGACAGGGGAAGAGAGGAAGCGAAATGTGGCTTTGGGAAGTGATATCGTGTGTGACCCTACATTTCTTTCATCAGCAAGTCCAGTAGTGAAGCTAAGGGTGTATTTTTTGCACATTTGAGATTATGTATTTTGGAACTAAAATAAATCATCTTTTATATGCACGAGTGCATTGTGCTGTGCTTAGGGTATGACGATCATGTTTATGTCTTACCACAGGTTATGAGAGATATACATTTTAAGTAAATCTAAGAAGGTATACATTGATAGATTAAGTCTAAATTAATAATGGTTATGTTAGTATTGCAAGTAACAAAATATGAGAGGGTCTTGTAGGTCAACTCACTGATGATTGGGTGGGTAAATTATTTTTTTTTTGTAAATTTTAGAAAGCCAAGCTTATTTTTTTCTCTTATAGCTTGTCTTTTATTTCAGTGGACAGGATTATATCCCTTTATATTAAATATCACAGATGAAGTTGATATTGTCATCAGCCATGTCTTATGAAATTTTGGGGAAAGACACTTTTGCTACAGAAAGACAATCTCAGGTCTCTTCAATCTTCTGTGAAGCCTGAGTTTATCATCAAATGTGTCCAATAATCTTGTTTCTTCTGTTGTCTTCTTGACTTTAGCTCCATAAGTTACAAAATATTGGAAGCATATACGTTGTACTCTGTGTGTGCATGAAATAATATATTAATATGATATTAATTGTAAAGCAGTTAAGATTTGTTTGTTTCTTTAAAAGGAAAAAATTATCATTTTAGTCTATGAAGTTCATAACTAACTTGAAGGTGTAATCTTAAAAAACACAATAGTGTCTATAAAAGCTTCCATTTCATTTTAAGCATTACTCAAACTGCAAATTCTGTTCATTTTATCTCCTAATATGCAAACACTGCACAGCTGTAGATTTTTTAAAGAAAAATTTATTTATCCATTTTTACCCAAACCATTACTTGAAAATTCTTATGGTTACCACAGTGTCAGCTGCACAGTTTTGCACCGAATAAAGAACTTCATGTCCTACGTGATACATGCAAGCCACAAATCAAAGTTTTCATACGTCTCTTTTAAACTACTTAAAATACAGGTTTTTCTTCTTTTTTGTGGACTTTGAGAACTAGTCCAAATCTTAGCAGCTGTGGGAATTAAGGTCATTTAAGCCTAAGTAGTCAAATGCTGCAAAATATGAACTTTATTCTCAGAGCTCAAAACCAAAATAAAAGGCTTTTTGATACTGTATTATGAATTCTGTCACCTTTGTTGGTAAAGAGTTTTCAGGGATCACCTGCAGGTTTTTCTTCTTTTTGGTGGACTTTGAGAACTAGTCCAAATCCTAGCAGCTGTGGGAATTATTAAGGTCATTTAAGCCTAAGTAGTCAAATGCTGCAAAATATGAACTTTATTCTCAGAGCTCAAAACCAAAATAAAAGGCTTTTTGATACTGTATTATGAATTCTGTCACCTTTGTTGGTAAAGAGTTTTCAGGGATCACCTGATGTAAGAAAGTCTTTAAACTGCAGTCTCAAAAGATCAGCACAGCTAAAGCGAAGTCTCTGCTCATAGCTTTTTTTGTTGTGGTTGAGGGCTCATTCATGGTTCCTATTATACGTTACTTGTCCATTTTACAAGTTGTTAATTATGTATGAGTTTATGTTAGCAGAAAAAAAGATAATTTAGCATATGGAAAGGAGGCAAGAACCTTAGAAATATATTCATCTATAGATGACTAAAATAATTGGGGTATTTTTGCATCTATTTACCTATCTGTTTCATCATATGACTAAATTTAAAGTAGCTGAAATCAAACTATATATGGTCTAATGGCATTTTCTACCTATTTTAACTGGGGCTGTGCTTTTCTGAGATAGACTTTTATGTGTTCTCTTGAAAAGACTACCCAGTGTCTTTTGTCATTGAGAAATGCATCCTGCAAATCCATTTTAGCAGTCTCGGAATCCAGAGCTAAATGCTAGTGTGTACACCGGCCTGATGAGCGTCTCATATCCATCCCCAGGTCTCTGTTTCAGGGTGTATTCCAGCATGTTGCCATCAGAGTTCCCAAAATTCCAGTACTGTTCTGGGGCCTGTGTTCTTCTTGAGACCATCCAGGCTTTTCAGATCAATTACTGTGAATATGCACTAAAAAAACGGTGGAAACCCCCCACTCTTCCTGTTATGTCTCTAAATTATTTTAAATGTTATGTGCTATAGCAATTTGTTGCAAAGTCATCATCTTAAAAAAAAAAAAAGTGAGAGGAGGTGGGAAGGGTGAAATTTATAGACGTCAGAGTCTAGATGGAGGATGCTTACCCTTGTTATGTGAAAGAAAGAAGTGGATACAAACAAACATTCAGGTTTTACAGAAATCAAGGCCTCTTTCTGGTACTACTATCTTAAATCATGAAAGATTATAATCATAAAAAATAAACAACAAAAGGCATTGTGAAAGGTTTCCTCAATTTTTGCATTTGGCTGGAAAAAGCATCTTAACAAGAGGAAAGATCTTTTAACAACATAACAGTCTGTCTTCTCTGTCAGCATATTATTATTGGAATGATCCAACAGGATAAGGTGCAGTTTGAGAAACACTCTACAGTGGGTCATTTTGGCTAGAGCACCCTGAACCTTGCCCTATGTTTTTAGCTTCTAACTATAAATAAGTTTCTTTTTTCTTTTTCAATCTGTAATATACTGTGTCTGTAGTGGTATAATGAGCAGATCACTGGACTGGCAGCAGGTGTTTGGGGACACAGTCAACTTGTTTGATCTTCATTAGCAGCTATAAAGATTTTAACGTAGAACATTTTATAATACTCCTTATAACATCTAAATATAAGAATTGTCTGGTTTAGGAGGAAGATGCCTACCTTTGCAAACAGTATGTGGGGAGCACTGTTTATCACTTATATTTAAAACATATTCTACAATAATTTACATTTTTGTTCAATCTTGAGTGACATATGTCCCCTGTGTTCAATATCAGGGGAGAAACAGCATAAAATTGGCTCTGTACATATTCGCATATGCATTGTAGATGTTTGTATGTTACCTCTTTGCTGTAGACACAATATTTAAACACTATTAACTAAATCCTATTGAGGAAAAAAGTGATTTTTATGTTCTCTCTAGACCTTCTGTTTAAAGTAATCAGATATGAAATCATTCAGACTGGGTTTATGGTTAAATGATTCGAGGGCAAGTGTTTCTTTCTTTTACAAATGCCCCTTTTTTTTTATTAAGTATCTCTGAGAAGAGAGCAAATCAGTAAATTAACATGACATATAATATGAATTACTTTTTTTTTCCTCTCTAACTTTTAAAATATATCTTCCAAGGAAAGAAAATTCCCCAAATTTGTAACAAGAGAAATGGAGAACATGTACATAGAAGAGTTGCGGTCTTCGGTGAATTTGCTGATGGCAAATTTGGAAAGTCTTCCAGTGTCTAAAGGTGGGCCAGAATTTAAACTGCAGAAGTTAAAGCGATCACAGAATTCTGCATTCTTGGACATAGGAGATGAAAATGAGGTTCAGCTGTCGAAGTCTGATGTAGTCCTCTCCTTCACATTAGAGGTAATCACATATTTCACAGAAAACTTGTTGACAGTTTAAATTACTAAAATATCTATGTCTTGATAACTTTTTTCTTATTACTTCTTCCTTTGTAATTTTAAAATTCTATCTTGAAGAAGTAAATTATTCTTTGTGTCTTTGGTAATTATGAGTTAGAGTACAGCTATGTGATGCATTTTCCTCTTGCATTGGCAATTGCATTTGGTAGTTGAATCTCCCACACAATGTAACTTTACATCAATTCCAGTACATTAAATACCTAAATACGCTTTTGAGAGTGATTATGAAACACTGTTGTTATCAGGAGCTCACTCCTAGAATTTTACAAACAAGTTATGTTTTCTCACTGAAAGCATTTGAGAATAAACAACAACAACAAAATTTACTGGTGGCCATAGCAGGTTTTTAAAAATTTCTGCATTTTCCTCAAGAAACTAGTTCATATTTACTAAGATTATGGAGGAAGTCTGGTTTATAGAAAAAAAAGCATCTGCTTTTTTCAGTAACGTTGAAAATTAATACCAATCTTTCTTTCCAATGTCATTAATTTACACAGAGAATTTAAAAAATGTTCAAAAACAGAGAAATTACTTACCTCTGTATGCAATTTTAATATTACTAGCTAAGAATGTAAAAGCCTAACATCAACTTTGAAAGAGTAGTAAGATCCATCATTCTATATGCCGAAAGTATCAAGCATGTACAACTGTTAACCACATAAGTTGAGTGTATGTGCACATCACTCTCAGGAAGCTAAATCTCAGAGTGTATAAGGGCAGAAGGAAATAGCTGAACTGATATTAATTTATAAGGAAACCTGACAGTTCTACTCCTTTTCTATGCAAATGGGCAAATAAGAAAAGCTGATTGTTTTTCCTTTGAGACAGAATACTTTATTTTTTGTAAATGTGAGGCCATATGTGCATAGCTTCACACTTCTTGAATAACATTACATACATTTATGATGTTCTGATGGGAATGGACCTTGCTGGCTAAGAGAAGAGACATCCCTGCCCTTAACTGCAAGCAACAGTGACTGTTTTTACAAGTGTAGAGGCTCAAATAGCCTGTTTGCAGAAATTTGTAAAATAATTAAAGAAAATATCAAAGTAACAGGAGATGACTTAATCAATTATGTTCCTCAGCTGTTGGACAGTTTCAGAAAGAGACAAGCAATATTTAGGAAGCAGTTTATCAGCTAATGAGCTAGTAAATAAGCTAGTGACAGTTTCCTTCCTAATGAAATGCAACTTTTTTCCATTACTGGGGTCCAGAATTGCTACCAAGGACAAATGTACTGTGCAATTAAATTGGAAACTCAAGGAAAAGAAGTGTCAACATAAAAATGACTAAACGTGTAGTCTGCATTCAACAAGGACATAAATTTGGCATGTGGAAAGACCATATAGGTAGTATTAACTAGAAGGATCTCTAGTGCAGTCTCCCAGTGATCATTGATCACTCTGATAACTGCTTAAATTTCTGGACCACAAAAGATGGAAAAGAGAGATGATTATGACACTCTCCCTGAATTGATATTTACAAAGCATAATAGGCAATGTTGATAATTTACGAGTAATGTAAAAAAATTCAAAATTATCAGTGACCATCATCTCACTGTGATATTACCAAACCAGCAATTTTTCAAGTCATCTTACTATTACTAAGGTTCTGGAAGGTTCAAAGTACAAAGGATGTTACAGCCAGGGGTGAAGTCTGGCTTAACATACTTGAATTGAAGAAAATTGACAAGTATGCACACAGTTTAATTGCAAAATATTTTAGTAGCTGCTTGCTGACCTAAGAAACCAATTGCCTCTAAAGAGACCAAGAGGAGTCGTTACTTTTTTCACCCTTGAATATTGGTTTTCATCTGTAGTTCAGTTGAGGACAGCTTCTCTGCTGATTAAATGGACTATGTTTTTCCCATGTTCTTCTTATAGGCTTAAATGGGGCTGGAAGAGAAAGCAGCTTTTCCAAAGCAAGCAGGGAAACCAGACTTTCTTCTTAAATCTTCTCTGAAACATCTGAAGTGTAAAAATTCCGATAATTTCCCACTGTGACAAACTGTAAGGTTTATGGAAGGCAGAGAGCATTTGAAGCAGGGCTGCGTTTGGCTCTTCTGAGCTATGACTGACTAGTTCAGAGAAGCTGAAGAACTCTGGGGTCTGCCAAGTGCAGAATTTCCCTGTGAGGAAATTACTTGAGGCACAGCTGGTGGAGGTGGCTTTTTTCCCCTTTATCTACCCCCCACCGCCCCCAGCCCCAATGCATGCTGAATTTGACTGCAAGTACTGAACTGGAAGAAGGAAAAGAGGCTGATGGCAGGGGGGGAAAAAAATCCAGCAACTGATAGCGATGCTCTGACCTGCCTCACGCTCAGCACGCCACTAAATCACTTCTGAGAGTCAAGAGTTGCAACCTCCAGTGTCACAGCACCACGATTAACCTTTCAAGATGTGATCAGTGTGCTTGCTAGTCTTGTTTAGTCTGGCTTAGTAACCTGTTTGTTCTATAAGTACTTATTTAGATAACTGCTTGAAACATACTTTTCCCCAACTATTATGGTTCAGAAGTATATATAGACATTATTCTCAAATTCGACTACCAACATTTTGATTGTGAGTGAAGTTTTGGTCATTGTCCAAGTAGAAACAGAGGAAAAATTTCAATTCCTACTATATGGTGTAGAAAGTGGAAAAAGAAAGCAAAATTAAAACTTTCCTCTGTGAATATTTCAGTGAGTGGAGTTTGGGGAAATTTTTATTTCTTTTTTGTTAACCTGCATGAAGCTTCGTACTGCAATAGCTCTGCTATCTAGTGTTTTCTGAAGGATAAACTATTTCCTTTCTTTTCCTCAGATTGTTATAATGGAGGTACAGGGTTTAAAGTCGGTTGCTCCCAATCGAATTGTCTACTGCACCATGGAAGTGGAAGGGGGTGAAAAGCTGCAGACTGACCAAGCAGAAGCTTCCAGGCCACAGTAAGCCACTCTGCTGTTGCTGCGTCCAGCATCTTTCCTTCATATCACAGGAGAACCTAACTATCTTCACAGTTACTACAATTAAGTTAGCGCTAGGTTATAGGAAGTTTTTTTTTCCTGGCAAGTTATCTTAAACTCTTTCTGAAAATTGAAAATACAAACAGTAGTTCTTTATAGTGAAGTAAGAAAAAAGTGTGCATGGTGTACACATGAACGCCATTGAATGTACGTGTGAGAAACACAGCTAGAGACTGCATCCTCTGAAAACACAATCCTCTCAATAGATGTTAGCCTGAGGTGATTTTATGTATTCTAGGTTAATGTGCAGGTGGCCTTGTGGAGTGTAACTTGTATGATTGGTGGAAAATCAATACTCAGTAATCAATCTCAACAAAGCTTACTCACCTGCTGAGCCTGTTTCTTTTTAAATTATAGGGTCCACTTTGTTCAATTAATTTTTGAGGGAAGCAGTCAACAGAATGACTTGGAGAAGAATAACAACATGGTCTCTGTAGTCGAACAAGTTAGAGTGGAAGAGAGGATGAAAATTAAGTGTGGTTTTTAGTTGATTTGTTGACCTACACACTGACTTCAGACACTTTTCTCTCTGCTAAAATGTCATTTGGAATCTCTTGTGGCTAACTTTCCAGACAGCATGTTGGGGTTTTACTGGCACCACAGTGTGCCTTGTGAAAGACAATTTTTCAGTTGCAGTTGTTACAGTACCTGAGAAAACATCTTCAACGGAGCTAGGATAGTAGGTTCTATTCCAATCATACCTCAGATGTGGACTTCTGTTAGGCAGAATTATAAGCACAGTTGCCTCTTCTGGGGTTGGAAAGAGGAGGAGATTAATTTGATGGTCTTTCTCCTAGGTGCAGCAAACTTCTTTGGGAAGTAAGTCAGCAGCCTACTCCAGTAATGTGTTAAAACACCTTTGCAGAGCTCTTATGTGGGAAAAGATGTAAACTTGACATGTCAGAGTCTCTGTCTGTGTTCCTTCTCCAAAGCATAGGAATGCTCAGTTGTATCCTATGCATGTAGTACGTGAGGAACTTCTAAAAGCAACAGTAGTGCAAAAGACACACAGATACACACATTGAAGCGAGGTCACGAGTGGATATGCAACACCCCCTGCTCATTTGTGGGCCCGTTTGGGTGATCTCTTGTGGCTTAGGGTCCCATGAGAGTCACAAGGCTTTCTCATGGAGGGCACATCTCCAAGCTGTACTTTGTCTTCAAACTCAAGAGTTGCTCTCATACTGCTCCCTGCAACAAATACCTCTAACCTTTGCCTACTGCCACAGTTAAAGTTCCTGTTTCTTCTGACAATGTGTCTCTCATTTCATCACCCTTGAACGTGTTAGCTTCTGTTTTAAATATTCAATTAACCTCTGATGTCATTGGTATGGGTCTTCAAATCTCCCTAAATCACCCAGAATACACAAATTCTTGTATCTTGGGCACAGAAATTCTCCTTTCAGAAATCAATTTGTAGATGTTAAAGGTTTTGTTTCTCACTAACCATTTCCAAATGTGGTAAACAAGACATGGTAGTGACAATTCATGGTCAGTTTATGGTTTACTTGCTACATAGTTAGGGGTGCAGGTTAATGTAATGGATGTAAAACTAATCAGAAGGTATGCACTGTGTATAGATAAATCTGGTGAAAGTAACAGATGGGGTGATTTTCCTGCTGGTCAAAGTAGAAACTTCGTGGTAAAGAAGTTCAAGAATAGATGGAGTCAATATGAGACAAAAGTGGAGTGTTTGTAGGGGAAGGGGCCTGCTGTTAGCTTGTAAACTGTTTTAGCAGATTTCAGGCTTAATAGCCATGAGTTGATTGAATATGGGAGAAAGACTCCTTATGGGCTATTCCATATAAGTGATGTTGTATGAACCAAACTCATGGATTTGTATGGAAAAAACAAATATGCATCTTTACAAAGTGGATGTTTGAGAGATCCCCTGAACTGTACACTGGAAGGATAGGAATGGGAGTTACTGGTGCTGTTTACCTGCTGTCCTACAAAACAGTGTAACCTGAAGTGGCACATCTGGCAGAGCTCTAAAATCTATCTAGCTCTTTGCTCTTCTGAGTTGTCTGTTTTCCATTTCTGGCAAGAGTAATTATGAGACATTGGCAGGCAGTGTGATTGTAAACATGTAGAGACATATAGTTTCTGAGCATATATAGAGATGTAGTTTGAGGCAACAGAGGAGGTTATCAAATTAGACAAGCATGAAATTATCAAATTATGGGCAAGCAGTAAAGAAGATGGAGGGAGATGGATGCCTATGGAATGGGAGATCTTTTATTTCACAGTTTCATTTTTCTGTTAGAGCCAAATCAGGTTTCCTTGACAGGAGCAATATTGCTTTTTTTTTTTGGTTTGTTCTTTGGGGTTTTTTTTTGTATTGTTGGCAGAGGGAACTAAGAGGGCTTGGAAGAATTTAATCAGAAAATTGCGTTGGTGGAAGACAGACTAAGAAATACTGTCACAGGGAAAGTACTGTCACAGTGAAAGAGGGGGTCCTCAAGTTTTAGAAGATTTAAGTATTCTGGTTTTTTCCTCTCCTGTCGCAGCCTGTGTCCAGTCCTTCTAAGATCTTTCTCATTTCTCAGGACCAACACATCTCTTGCCCCACGCAGCCATCTGCCTCCTCTTGCTTCCCTCTTCTTCCAGCACTCATCGCTGTGCCCTGATAGTGACCTGCTGGGCTGTTGGAAGGGTCAGTCACTGAGTGAAGGACTGGATGTTCTCTGGCAAAGAGGAGGTATGGGAAGAAGTGGAAGCAGAAGTGACTTTCTGCTCCTGTTGATGCTAGTAATGGTACTACTGCTGGGAAGAGAGATGCCTCATTTCCCCCTCGGTCCTCTGGCAGCAGTGGGCAGTCACGTCAGGGGCCGGTGACCAGCTGGGCAAGTGCAAACAGACCACTGCTTTTCTGATACAGAAGACACAAACTGTTGGCTGCCCCAGGCTATGCCTACTTTGCCTGCTGCTGGAGCTAGCTTCTGGCTTCTCACTGGAATAATTTTCAGTACTGTCATTCTGATTTGAAGGAAAAATAATCAGTGAGGCTGGAGGAGAAAATACAAAACTCATTGCAGACAAAAAGAAGAATTGAGAACGGTAGTTCAGCTCAACTCCTCAAATCACTGGCAGTAACATATTTGCACTGACAAATCCCAGATAAATGTGAACGTAACTTCAGATTTTATGTAGGACGTGCAGCTAGAAAAGGGTAGCAAAGCTCTCATACTAAGCATAGAATCAGACAGTGATGAAAAGGGAATGATTACCACCAGCCTGCTGTGGAGACTGCTGGCAAGAGCTCCAAATCGTGTGCTTGTCACACACCTTTTCTGTAGTTGGTTTATCATTTTGAACTGGTAGCTACATTGGTGAGAAGCAGCAGCATAAAGAATTATTTGTGCCTGTTTCTTCATCTGTGAAACGCCAGTGTATGCAATGCAATGCTGCTACTCAGTCAGAAGTTTCAAAAGCTTTGACAGTGAAAAGGAGAAAAAGAGAATCTCAGACGAATGCTTGAAAATGGAGTGCAAGCCAATGTGACCTTAAAGTGGGGATTAATGGAAGCATGAGTCAAGTGGAGCCTTAATTCAGGATTTATCCACTATTTCAGAATGCTGAATATTTTCTCAATTATTTTTATGAATATGTATTTAAATATTCCTCTGCATCCCGGAACACTACCATAAAAGTAATAAAAAAACTTAGAAACAATGTTCTTTCTTAAAGGGGAAAGATCTAATTAGAGTCCCAGGGAGGAGACCACAGTTTTTATTCAGTAAGAAATCTTTTTCTGGTTTTAAAATGTTTTTAAACCCTGACTATTTTACCTGTTTTTCAATAACAATTTTGTGAGCTAATATTGAAGTACTTGATTATCTTCTTTAATAAGCTAAATAAAGCACTGATTGTATGTTACTGAGTAGTTAATGGTCATTCTAAAATGCAAAGGCTATGCAACAATATAGTTTGAGCTTAAGTCTTGGACAATTTTACAAACAGGTCATTTATACAGCTTTACATGAAAACCCTATAAAATTTTTATTACTGCCTGTGAAATGTTTCTCAACTCTTTCCATCTGTTTCCTGCTTTTTAGTCATACTGAAAATCCCCCCAACATAGCCTGTGACCTTTTCTGCCAGAGATCAGTAAGCAGAGCCTTCATAGGACCCCTTCAGTTGTATGAAGCTTTTGTAACTTCATTGCTGTGATCCCACAGGGGGTCATCTTGCAAAATCCAGTGCTAATTTCATTTTTCAAATGTTACTGATGTGGCTTAGTTTTCAGTCTTGTGGATTCTAGTGTCCACATGTTTTCTTATAATTTATTGTTATTCAGTCTGAACATTAAATAATGTGGTTTCTTTAAAGCGTTGTGCCTAAAGATAAAAATAAGGGAATATACTGTCTTTTATCACTACAAGTGACATTCTGTTGTCACGTATTCATGCAGTAGTGTCATGGCTTAGGCTCAGGGCTGACCCCCAGACCTGTAACAGATGCTCTCTGTTAACTCCTCATCCTCCCAAAGAGGAAGAGAAAGGGAATAAGGGAGAAGGACTTAGAGATTAGAAAAGTGAAACAGCTTTAATGAAAATAGTAGTAATAATATGGAATATGTACAAATATAAACAAAACCAGTACTGAACCCAACTCCCCCCTAATGGCAATACGTCACCAGCACCCCTGGCTGAAATGTCAAAGACTGGGCACAGGAGCTGCATTCTGGAACTCGGTTCAGGAACACACAGGTCAGGATCAAAGGCAAGATGGATGAAGTCCTCCTCAGATGCTGGCCATTGCAGAACAGAGCTTGACCCTCCTTATCAGAGAACCACAGAATGTTAGGGGTTGGAAGGGACCTCCAGAGATCATCGAGTCCAACCCCCCCTGCCAGAGCAGGACCATCTAGTCTAGGGCAGGTCACACAGGAACGCATCCAGA